TTTTTTTTGGTAGCATTATAAATGTCTTTACTGTGACTTTTGATCAATCTAATGGGTCCTTTCTGAAAAAAAAATACATTTAAAATTAATTTATTAAAAAAACAACCTTTTGAGTGGTAGAGATTTCATAATTGAAGGTCATTCATAATGTAACTCATCATTCAACAGGTGGGGAGACGTCGGAAACGACAACCATGGTCTCGCATGAGACGTAAAAGGAAAAGTTCTGACGATGATGATGATGACGAGGAGAGTGAGAGTGAGGAAGAGGAGACGGAGGAGGACGACAGCGATGAAGACTATAAGGTGGAGAAGAAGACCAGGAAAAGAAGGAGAAACCGAAACCGAGAGCGAAACAGCTCTGACTCCACTACCTCTTCATCAGAAGATGATGAACCCAATGACGACCCCTGCAAACACTGTGGCCTTCCCAACCATCCCGAGCTGGTGCGACACTCTTCTGCAAAATATATTCATCTTCTCACAGTCAGAAGTGCTGCTTTTAACCTCTCGTTTCTGTTCCCCTAGATACTCCTGTGTGATTCCTGTGACAGCGGTTACCACACTGCCTGTCTGCGGCCTCCGCTCATGATCATTCCAGATGGGGAATGGTTCTGCCCCCCCTGCCAGCATGTGAGTCAATTTAGATTTCAGGATTTCCTTTACAGAAAGGCATAATTCTGGCTATTCAAATGCTGATGATCTTCATTTCTCTTGCAGAAGCAACTTTGCGACAGGCTCGAAGAGCAATTGCAGAATTTGGATGCCTCCCTCAAAAAGAAAGAACGTGCAGAGCGAAGGTGAATAAAGAGAGGATTAGTTTGAACCAGTTGCAGAAAAGTTCCTAAATTAGTCCAGTTAACCTTTATCAGTCTGTTAATCTATTGTGCAATGGGATGATGGCCTATGTGAGAAATTATTTGTGAAATGTCAGAAACATTGTCATTCTTCTCTCACAGGAAAGAGCGACTGGTGTATGTTGGCATCAGTGTAGAGAACATCATCACACCTTCCGTAAGTGCCCACAGTGCTTATTGAAGTTTGTGAATACTTACTATGAAGATTTAATGTCAAATATTTTTTATTTTTTTTATTTTGATTTTTTACAAAAGAGCACTTAAAAGTATGAAATGTCTGCTATCACAAAGCTAAACTATTATTTTAAGATAGTAGGATAGATTTGAGGAAATGATAAAAAGACATAGAAAGTTTATTTTTACCTTTTAATCCTAATTACCATTTTTAATTATAAAGAAATATTTGGAGTATTTTCAATTCTATAATGCATGATCATCATTTTCACTACCGTTTTACCATGATTTTTGTTTTTGAAAGAAGTGGTTTATGCTCACTAAGGCTGCATTTATTTGATCAAAATACAGTAAAAACGGCAATATTGAGAAACATTTGATAGTAGGATAGATTTGAGGAAATTATAAAAAGACATAGAAAGTTTATTTTTACCTTTTAATCCTAATTACCATTTTTAATTATAAGGAAATATTTGGAGTATTTTCAAATCTATAATGCATGATCATCATTTTCACTACCGTTTTACCATGATTTTTGTTTTTGAAAGAAGTGGTTTATGCTCACTAAGGCTGCATTTATTTGATCAAAATACAGTAAAAACGGCAATATTGAGAAACATTTTTGCCATTACTCCTCTCTTTAGTGTCATAATATGCTGATTTGGTGCTCAAGAAACATTATTATTATCAATAAAAAAGTGGTGCTGCTTAATAATTTTGTGGAAGCTGAGATAAATTTTTCAGGATTCTTTGATGAACAGAAAGTTTAAAAAACAGTTTGTTAAAACATTTATTTGACATTGAAATCCTTTATAACATTCTAAATGTCTTTACTGTCACTTTTGATCAATTTAATGCATCCTTGCTAAAGTGAAGTGTTAATTTCTTTAAAAAAATCTTCTCTATCCCATGGTAGTAAAACTCTGTAGTTATACATATACATTTTTTGAAGGTGGAAGTGGAGGAAGAAAAGAAGGAGGTGGTGAAAGAGAAGAAAGATGTGAAGAAGAGCAAAGGTTGGGGACGGAGATCAACCAGGGCAAAGAAATACATAAGCTACAGGTATGTCATTCTACTTGCTCATTATCTTGTGCTGTTTATACATAGTCGTTAATATTCACTGTTTATTGTTACATTTTTGTCAGATTTGATGAGTTTGATGAAGCGATTGAAGATGCAATCGAGGAAGACATTAAAGAAGCAGAAGGTGGAGGTAGAGGAGCATTTTCATACATCACACTAGTGTTGATATTTGAGCTTGGATATGGAAGTTTAGACTGATCAAAGATGTCAATACACAGGAGCAGGCCGGGGGAAGGACATGGCAAACATCACAGGCCACAGAGAGAAGGACATGTCCACCATCCTACAGGAAGATGGGAAGGAGAACGGGCAGCCGCGGCGAACCAGTGCAGCTCAGAAGAAGAAGCGGCGGCGTCTCAACGATCTAGACAGCGACAGCACCGTGGACGAGGAAGAGAGTGAAGATGAGTTCCGTCTCAGCGACAGGTAATGTTAAACAGCTTTTAATTCAAGAGAATCACAGAGTCTTGTCAATGAAATAACACTTACTCTGCTCTGATTGGTCAGCAGTTCAGAGGATGAGGAGTTTGCGGCCTCTGATAATGACGTGGAGAGTGAAGCAGAAGTCCCGTCCTATGAGGATAGTGACTTCGGGAGCGATGTTGCCCGCCCGCAGAGAAGACAGCTGCCACGCAGAAGACGCAGACCGAGAGGATACTCCGAGGAGGAGGAGCTGGAAACTGATGAAGAGGAGGAGATGGGTGAGACATTTAAAAAAATAAATAAATAAAAAAAATTTAATGCAAAAAAATTACACTAATACAACCCTGTTATTTATTCTGACAGTTTTTTTTATATTGTAGAAGTTTTATTCTTTTATGTAGTTTTATTTTTTATTTAATTGTGTAAAAATAAATATAAAAAAATTCAAATTAAGAGTCTCAGATATTTAAAAATGAAAAGCTGATATAATATTTATGTTTGAACTGCTGAGGTAGACAAATAGAGTTTTCTGAAGGTGAAAACCTTTTGTTGAAAAAATTGGATCAAAAATTTGAGTTGAATTTGTACCGTACTTGTGGTTTACTGTTTGTTCACTGATATTTCTGTTTGTTTGTCTTGTTTTGTGTGTGTGTGTGGGGGTGGGGTTTGCATGCAGCGACTGAAGGCTCTAGTGAATTCAGTGACAGTGACCTGGACGTCCGCTGTCGGCGGTCCTATCGGAGTCGTAAGCAAGAGGTGAATTACTGTGAAAGCTCAGATTCTGACGGCTCACAGGCCAGCACCAACAAAGACAAAAAGAAGAAACGCAGACGTCTTTCCAGCTCCGACAGCGAAGGTCAGTGCCATTTACACCTATGCATTTTCACAGCATAAGGCTCAATCATTATATAATATATACTATATACATTATACATACTATTCTATAAAATAGAAACATGACCGTAATGTAACCAGTATCTTATATAATATTGCTAGAATTATTCTATGGTCGACTGATAGAGGTTTTTCAATAGCTGGTAGCTCTACATAGAAACCTGGATGACTGATATGTACATAGTATACTTTACCATTCAAAAGTTTGGAATCAGATTTTTTTTTATTGTTTTTGTTTGTTTTAAAGAAATTATTACTTTTATTCAGCAAGGATGCATTAAATTTTATTCAGCAAGGATGCATCAGTTAAAAGTGACTATAAAGATTTAAGTTACAAAAGATTTCTACTTAAAGGGTTAAGCCCCGTTCACACCAAGAACGATAACTATAAAGAAAACGATATTAGCGTCCACACCAGCAAAAGATATCGTCTGTTTATTCTAAGCGCACGCTTGTCTGCCGCTTTAAATTCTTGAGCTCATTACAGCAGGATGGATTCTGATTGTCTGTCAGTGATTTATCGTTCATCAGCTGGAAAAAATT